TTTACATCTATGTTAATCGTTCCCTTTTGTAAATCATTTCCAATTTAATCATTATAGTAGCTTATACCTGTTAATCAATAATCACCATCCGTATTTTATCTAATGTCACAACTCCTGCATTTCTCACAATCCATGTAAGTTTCCTATTGTTCTTTTACAATTTTGTAACATTAAAATTTTGCTAACTTGTATACATTATGTTAATTTTCCCTATACAGTTGTAACACAAGAGTTGAAAAGGGATATAATTATCCGAAATGCATACTCAAATAAATAAAAAGTCTTTCTAAAGTTTGTCTTCCGTTGAATTGATGGTGTAATAAGTGTAGCGGAAAAAAAAAGCTGTCCTAGAGCTCGTAAAATTGAACCAAAATAAATGTTTGTATATTGGGCATTGAATTTGAAATCATATAAAAAAACTTTGTAATTTGTGAAATATTATTTAATATTTAAAACATTAAACAATATTTCACAAATTAATGTTTAAATATTAATGTTAACATTTAAAATTGAAAAATTGATGTTTAAAATTAAAAAGTTATTACTTTTCTAGGGTCATGTGACAATGTTGAATGATGGATGTTGGCATCCGAAAGACAAGAGAGAATTTTTGACCTGTTCTAATGATGGGTAAGTGATTTATTTTAAATGATGTAAAATGTATGAGAACAATGCAACTACAATTATTTATCATCACATTTTGAATATAATTTATATCAATAGAAATTATGAAGTGAATATTATATCTAAAGTATTATAAAAGAGAGAGAGCCAGAACTATTTTAAAAAAAAAAGTATGTGCATATTCAAATGGGTTCACACACAAAGATAATTGCAGATGTAAACAATACACAGTTATGAAGTAAACAATAATAATCGAAACTGCAGAAAGAAGTAATTAATTAACTAATCACTGACTGCTTTATGATTACTGAGAAACATTTATTTAAAGATAGGCAAACATTTTCAATCAAATTTATAATTGTCTTCAGTAAACAATAATAATTTATCCAAATATTTTTAATGATTACACTGCAAGAATCATATCTATTTAATAAAAATTAAATAGGCTAAGAGTTTTTTAATTTACAAAAAAGTTCTATGAATATATCACTAAAAGTTTGTTTCATTATAAGAGAAAAGCAATTCAGCAATAAAATACTAAACTAACATAGTCTGTAGTTTATCAAGTTGCTAAATTAAAAATATGATGATAATTTACTTGAAAAAACTATTATAAGATTTATATTACTTGTCATAGATAATTATAATTTGCTTCAAAATAGTTTTTATTTTTTCAGTTATATTTTATTATTTTAGCAGATTACTGAGATTACTTTTATTTATGATTAATTTATTATTTATATTAGTACATTAAGGCTATGGGATTTTCATGATGCGAAGAAAATGAAAGTTATTAAACCAAGACAGATTACAGGATTAAAAGCAAACCCTTTAAGCTGTAATTACAGTAGAGATGGTAATTTAGTAGCTTGTGCATGTCAAGATGGTTCTATACAAATGTGGGATCATAGGAAAGCATATGTAAGTAAATTTATGAAATCAGTTACTAAACATGAGGTCATTGCATAATTTATGTTGTATTTCATCTGCTTATCATAAAATATTTTAATTTTAAAATGTCTTTTTTTATATTTACATTATGTATATATTGGATACAAAAAATTTACAATAATATGAATGTTTATATTCTAATATGCTGATTTGATTTCAGGTGAACACTTCTATATTAATTAGAATTGCGCATGAAAAAGGAACGGACACTTCTTGTATAAGTTTTTCATACGATGGATTGAATTTTGCCACTCGAGGAGGTAATTTTGAAATAGTTTGAAATAAATTTAATGATTTATAATTATATATTTTCTGTTATAACCTGTTTTTTTTTTTTCCTATAATAGGTGCTACAC